CGAAAGACTGTTCAGTGGGGGAAGAGATCTCTTAGGAGTGCGGAGGAGCTCAATGAGTGCAGAGACTATGAGGCGTCTTATGATGCTGCGAGATACATGGAAATAGCTTCAGAGATTTACGAATAATTACGAATAATTACGAATAATGCGAATATTATTCGTACGAATATTAGTAAGCGGAAATTCTAAATTTTATTCGTATTCGACTACGAATATTCGTACGAATATTCGTAATCGAATATTCGTGTCCAGCCCTAACTTAGGGAAAGAGTAACTATACTTTTTGGTATTATGCTGTTTTTGAGCGAATTGGGCCTGCCTGTGATGGTGGTGATGGTTGGGGGAATGCCAAGACGTAACTCAATTTCGTCCCCCCGGGGGCACCATCATTGTATCTTTTCCATTGTTGTTGTTGACCTCACTCCACAGTCCTTAGAGCACTCTGTACCTATTATTTGATTAGTGATTGTGGCTTGTAGCATTGTGCAATGGCGTCTCGCGATGCTTGAAATACGAGATGATGGCCCCCATTATCAGCATTCATATTTCAACCTGATGGTATTATGCCATGACGTCTCTCAATGCATAAAATACGAGTTGATGGACCTTGATATTTCCAGTTTTCCAATATGTGTCTCAAGGTAGTGTCGTACAGGTTAGCACTTAGCAGAGATCTCGGCAGAGGTCTGGGCAGCGTTCTCAGCATGTAATATTTGGAGATAGAGGTGAGCATATTGATTAGGAATCGCAATATCACGGAGATAAACTGAAAACATTGTCACGGTTATGAAAGGGTAGCCTGTGGTAACTATGGGCTTCAATTAATAATATTCGGTGAAACAGTTGTACTAAGTGGTGGAGCTCCCAGCTACGTCTGTTTCTACAGTCTACACACTTCCTGATTCCTCATCTGTTCGACTAACTTCCCGTGGCTCTAATCTTGATCGGCGGATATGATGATCTACAACTGAACTACTCTGTACTATGTAGGACATAGCATGAAGGTGGCGTGGCGCCCATGCGGCTCAGCTTGTTGTCATTGCTTTGGTGCAGCATCGTCATTAAGGTTACTTGCACTATTGAGATCTGGCAGGGCTGACAGTTCAATATGGATTTCGAGTGCGTACGGTAAGTATATATACACAGGGATGGTCGCTTGCATTCGCTAAATGGAGTTAGGTGTAAACATATCGAATCCCATCACAGACATCTACCATGATCTTACAATCAGCACTTCTCTCATTATCACATCTCTTCGCTGTTTCACAAGCAGCAAGTCTTCGTCCGCAGGTACAAGCGCGAGCCGAGGAGAATGGCGGCCGCAACATCGACTGGAAACCATGCCCGAAGGAGGTGCTCGCATTCGACTCGATGAACCGGACGGACTTCCAGTGCGCGAACTTGAATGTGCCACTGGACTACAGCAACAAGTCGGATACGAGGAAGGCAAGCCTCGCCATCATTAGAATTCCGGCCGTGAAGCAACCGAAAATCGGAAGCATCTTCTTCAATTAGGGTGGTCCAGGTGGTGATGGCATAGTCAACATGGCTGCCTCTGCTAGCACCGTGCAACCGTACGTCAACTCGTCACTTGCACCTTACACCTTCAACCAGTACTGACGTTCACACAGTATGACAGGCGGTCAACACGATCTCATTAGCTGGGATCCCCGAGGGACCGGCCAAACCCTCTTTTTCGACTGCTATGCCAACAACACCGACAGCGATCTTTCGTTGACGACGTTCTTCAACCTCGCGAGTGAATCAGATCAGGCATTCGCCTGCTCTTGGGCGGAGGGTGACGTTCGCGGGAACACTTGCAAGGAAATCCGCAGTGATTGGGGCGACTACGTCGGCACGGCGTTCACCATCCGCGACACGTTTTCGATCCTGGATAATCTAGGAGAGGGGGATAAGCCGAACTATTGGGGCGTGTCATACGGTACGCTCTTGGGGAATACGGCGGTGAACATGTTCCCTGACCGTATGGATCGCGTGATATTGGACGGCGTCCTCAACCCCCACGAATACTACCACACGCTCGAGGAACCCCAGCAGTACGCAGACACGGACGAGGAGTGGCGCGAGTTCCTCCGCGGATGCATGAAACATCCCGACACCTGCGCGCTCGCGCCTCTCGCCACGTCTCCCGAAGACCTGGAACAGAAGCTCAACGAGATACTTTCGAAACTCGCCAAGAGTCCCTGTCCGCAGGGCGCAACATCGTCACCTACACCCTCGTCAAAGGCACCATCCTCAACTCCCTCTACTACCTTACCCGGTACCCCTCGCTCGCCATCATCCGTGCCGGAGTCCTCACCAACGACCAGGCGTCCATGATCACCGCGAACTATGGGTCGCGCACCGGCCACCCCAATGTCAACGACGGCAGTATCCGGCGCCAGTCCCTGTTCGGCATCAGCTGTGGTGACAAGATTGTGTGCACCGACGATGTCCGATGAGGGGCGCCAGGCGCTGCAGCGCGCACAGGAGGCCTCGAAGACATTCGGCGATATCCCGACGAGCAACATCGCGACGTGCGCGCAGTGGCCATTTACGGCGAAGGAACAGTACGAGCCTACGAGGGCGACTTCACGGCTACGACGAGCCAGCCGGTTTTGATCATCGGCAACACGTGGGATCCGGTCACGCCGTTGGTATCGGCGCAGAATGTGAGCGCCGGATTGGAGGGGAATGAGTTGCTGCAGCATAACGGACATGGCGTAAGTTTTGCTCCTCGGTTTGGCCTTGTTAGATAATAATCCTGATACTAATGTCATTTCTAACTGGCACATGTCCCTTTCGCAGCTACTACCCTGCACGTCGCGGTATATCGCGGGCTACTTCGTCAACGGCACCCTTCCGAAGCCTGGCACCAAGTGTGAGCGAGACAATGACCTGTTCGTGGTGTAGCCGTGAGATGGATCTGATAAGGGCGGTATTTCCTTCCCATACTATCTCTATCCTGTATTATAACTCTGTCTTATACTCATGATGGCGTTGGATTAGCGACATGACGTACCCCATTGTGATAGGAGCTTATTTCCTTAGAATATATACAGAGCTTGTAAAGGTACAGAGAGTATCAAATGGAGGCACATTCGTGCTGCTTTTGGAGGCATTCAGTAGCGTACAGCGTGGCTGTACTGATCTATCAGATGATGCTCTAGTACGCATCACATGCAGTATTTTATTAGGCTTCTTACTAAGACATACCTCCACCCTCTTCTCTTAACGTTCGCCCCATCGATAGTGAATTAGGTCGGACTAATGCATTTGGGTAGGTGAATTCGCCTACTACTTAGGATACGTCTTACTAAGACATGCCTCTACCCTCTGCCCTTAAGGTGTACATGTGTAGTGAATTGGTCCGTACCTCTGGGTTCGTGAATACACCTACTAGTAAACGCATGGGTCTTACTAAGACATACCTCTACCCTCTACTCTGAAGGCAGACATGGATAGTGAATCAGTTTAGACAAATGTGTGTGTTGGTACCTGAATTCACCTAATTACCTTATACCTACTAATTAGTAGCCGGCTTACCATGCGTCTTACTAAGACATACCTCGACCCTCTGCCTTTAAGGCTAACATGAATAGAGTCTATGGGGTAAAGTCAGCGGACCCCCTTGTCGGCCACCCCCTTTGTCGGCCACCCTAAATCGTGTTAACTACATAAATTCACCTACTAGCAAACCCCTGAGCCCGGCAGTGTTCCAGTGTCTACCGTATCTAGCCACAGACCTTGACTTCGCAATCCCTATGTTTGACTATTCATCGTAACCCGCACATTGTACATATACTTCTTGGTATTGGAAGCTGAGCAGGCGGACACTCTTCCTTATGGTTAAGATACTGGTAAATGTATGTGGACATGGCAAAACGAATATCCCTTTCTACTACGGTACTGAATATTTCAGATCCTGAAGCCCCGGCAAAGGTCCCAACGTTATAGATTCTATTATTACTTATTACCGAAGCTAGAGAAAGAGACGTGATATACCCGTTATATAAATTCATGCCAAAGTACTAAACCAAGCTAGGGTATCATGAGACCGAGTCTTGATTTACCTTCCCAATTAGCCACTGCAGCGATTATAGCATATTTGTCCCAAGCAACTTTACTAAATGCTCTTGTAACTGGAAAAAATGAATCTCATTTCCTCAAAGTCTGCGTCTATTAATAGGAAACGCCACCCAGATATTGAATCTCGAGCTTGAAAAACCACAGTTGAGATCTTCGTCGACAGAAGGAGAGAAGAAAATGCAGATCATCTCGACGTGGCGGCAACAAATAAAACCGAAAACCAAAACTAATGCAAAATCTGAAAAAACAATCCCTTTGCAAGGAATAGCAAATCAGACATGCCGACTTTTGAGACACTTCCGATTCCATGGATGAACCTGAAACCCCTTTGCGCCAACTCCTTGGATGTCCAACTGCCATACCCCAGGCAACCAGTGCTAACCAGTGAAGATCGTGAAGGTCCCGTGTAGCAACGAATGAACAAATGGCTGAATCTCTCCATAGCAAGCTCGGAAGCATCTAAGTTTCCTGGACGATCATTTGCCGCTTTACGACATCCGCCGCAGATACCTGCGCAGAGTAGACAAGGGAGGATCCTCCCCTAACCATTTCCCCTGAGCAGCATCCTGGGCCCGAAGAGAGTAATCGACACGCTCATCTGTGATGACTGCAAGTTCCTTTCGGCGCGAATTAGCTCTATTTCAATCGGGAGTCGTCTGTTCCTTTTAACTCACTGCTTGTAGCTGCTGATCCACGGCTTGTAGGTGGGGAGCGTGGCTGGCATGAGGTTTTCCGCCTTGTAGGAGCGCATATCGAGCATTGATCCAGCGGAGTGCGGTGGTGGCTCGGAGATAGAGTTTCTGGCATTGAAATCGACGAACTGCGGCATCGAGGATAATACTGAAGGCCCCAGTCAGAAAGAGCTCCGTTCAATGAAACTCGCGGTCCTCCGCCCTGTTCACAGGTCGAATTGTTCGATGTTATTGTGTGAACCATCTCTCACATACGCTTGCAATTGTTGTTTCTCCTTCTCCAGACTTTCGGACTGAGCCTGGGCTGCGTCGGTGGAATACGGACTCTCAAGCACGTCCCGTGCTTGCTCTAGGCATCCTCGAAGGAGAGTATAACCTTCCAGCCAGTATTCCTCACTGGCAGGCTGGGCATCAATCTGCGCGATGTAGTGCTGGAGGTTGCGGAAGTCGGTCATTATCTCGGCAATGCGCAAAGCCCGGGCTTCGTTCACTGTCGCGACTCATGTTAGTCCTCCTGTGTCAAGTGTGAAGAACGCAGCACACTACGGAGTAGCTAAGAAACACTCGATCAGTCTGTGCCATCTTGGGACAATGCTTACACCCATCTGCCATCATGTATATGGCCTGGTACACCCAATATCAAAAATTTCTCAAAACAGTGTAGTATGAGTAAATCGACTGAAAGGGCCGTACAACTTCAGCTGTCAAATAACAGGAATAGGAAGATCATTAGAAAAGGGACAAGAGGAATGGAAGAGACATGGTCAAGGCATAGGAATGGTGTCCTAAGGCCTCCTATATTATATATACCTCTTCACAGGACGCCTGGTGAAAGGGTGCACCGTAACCTCAAACTGGCGATGTGCCTTAAAAAGACAATTTGAAGGTTGATGTAAGCCAAGACTACCAGCCGGCGTTGTCCATTGCTCCGTTTGGATCGATCTACTGCTACAATTGGACGGGGAATCCGTTCGCGAATGACCAAACCGGACGAGCATAGCCCAAAAGTCCAGCTGATGATGGGATGGGAGTGTGGAAGCAACCCCAAGAGCTTAGTTCGGAATCTCTCAGAAGAGCAGTGGCAACATCATTGGAGAACCGACGGGCACAGGATTTACAGTCACAGGCGAACAAGGCCGTGATGGAAGATATCAAGTCTGAAACGAACAATCGAGCAATTGATGCATGGGTTACGATTTGCTGGAGTAGGCCTGTGGGCCGCAGGCGATCCGTCGGCAATGCGCCGTGCCCCACCCAAACTATTGCATATAGGAAACTCGTCCCGACGAATGTCGATGGAAGGCCTTTGCGGCTGGTGATGGATGCAGGCTTGATCCGTGGAGGCGCAATCGCATGGTGTGAGTGACGGCTCCAGGGCCTTGCGTACCTGAGGCTCATGATCGCGCAGTCCATTGCATGGTCTGGCGCAACGATGGCTTTGGAGACCGGAATCTGGACCGCGAAAGCTGCAGCAATGGGAAGCGGAGGACTTGCACCAACGTGGGATGGTTGGAATGCAAAGACGAGGTTCAGCTTCATCACAAGACGCAAGCCACGCGAGAGCCACGCTGCGTAGCCCGTCCTAATCTGGACTAGCGATATACCGATATCGACATCGTCGTCAACGTCGTGCATCACCTTGCGTCCCTTTGCATCTCCCCTATGGCCACCTCAGAATCTCTACTGGTGTGCCTGCTCGGGTACCAGCTGAAACTAGGAATCTCCAGCCGACGCATCGAAAGTATGATGGATGTGGACGGTAAGAATGTTTGCACCGCAAATGTCCCGCGCCACCCCGGTGCATCTGCTCCTTAATATAGGATCTCCGATTTGTGGCGGCTTGCTGAACGCCTTGAGAAGCGCTTAATGGCGCACTGTTTGTTCATTCTTCCATCTATGCCGCTACGAATGGCATGAAGTTGCCGCATTAGGTTCTGGTGTACTCTCAACCACTTGACGGTTTCTAAGGAGAGGAGGTAGTTTCAAATACTGTGGCAGTGTACAACACCACCTGAAAATGATTAAACAAAACGTAGCCCTGGAGATGTTAATCCGATTGTCCAATTAGAACCCGAGCAATATAAATTGACCAGAGCCGAGCCGTTAACTTTGTGTCTTGCTAGCGTGACTTCTACGTAGTGTACATACCCAGTGGAAGCATGCGGCTGAATCAAATGTCACCGTAACCCCGTATCTAAGTCGTATGGATCGGGTGAAAGAAAGGCTGATATCCTGAACACCTTGATTGGATAAAACACCCAGCGTCGATTCCGCTGAGCCCCTGTCCTTCTGTGGATACGTAGCTGTTCGACGGCAACGCTAAAGAAAGATCTCCTCGGTAGGTCATGTCGTCGCTGCAAAGCGCTTTGGTCAGGCACGACGTACCATGGATACGGAACGGAATCCAAGCACTGCCACGGCGCCACCCTAATCCTTATCCGCAATGGCCTGGAGTCGTTCGTCAATCTCCTCCTCCGTCAGTGGCCTGAACTGTGTGTCGGTCCCCTCCCCGTCCACACGCGGTCCGCCCACAATTCCTACTTCGAGTTCGCCCTTCTTGAAGTCGACGCTGAGAACGGTGCTCAAGGCCGTGATGCCTAGCTCAACGACCTCCTTCCAATCTCCCTCCGCGCCGTCCTTGTTCTTCAGTTTCTTCTCCAGGAAATTCAATGCTTCCTGCATTTTCGGGCCTGAGGCGGTCGCCTTATAACCGACGTAGTACCCAGCGGGGTCGCATTTGTACAGCTGCGGCCCATTTTCAGAATCAACCGATATTAGCGTGATAGCCACGCCAAGAGGGCGCATGTATGCCTGTGAGTGACGATCAGCACCAACCCCAGGCTATATTAAGAACCGCATGAACGTTGCAAACGCTTACCCGTTGTGTGTAGACCTGATTGATGTTCGCTAGCCTCTTCGCGAGAACGTCGCATGGCATCTCGTATCCATACTTATAGCGGAACTCGGCCGCCTCGGACCTGGCGCGATTGACCGATGCTCGAGCATCGGCGATGGAGCCGGTCATCACGCAGCCGACTGACGATGATAGTTTGTAGATGTAGGACACGGAGCTCGGGTCAATGAGTTTATCCTTTCGTCGGTCAGCGATCATCAGCTGGTATGTTGCGGAAGGACAAACTACATACCGGGACCTTCTTTTGTGACAACACGACGGCGCAGTCCTTTCCTCGAACCCCGACGGAGGTTATGTTGGCCGCGGTGATCGCCTTAAATGCATATTCTGTTATGATGCTGTCAGTAACTAAAGTAATGTTCCTCATGTTCGAAAGCTGTTGACTGTATCTGGACTGGGCGATGCAAGAAAGGTATTAGGGAGGAAGAACTGACCGACTTGGTAGAGTCGACCTTGGTCGGAGAAAATGGTAATATGCCTGTCATACCCGGCACTGCCTATATGATTTCACAACTCTTTAGTCTCCCAGTTGTTATCAAGGATGGAGGTCGACATACTTGACATCTTGAATGTGATGGGGGTGACGGAAGCTTGCTAGGCCTCTTTAGCTTCAACTCGGGTTATGTGGACGTTCCGTTCGGTATGAAGCTCCAAATAAGTGTCTAATGCAGCGCAGAATCTCGATTTCAGGCTGTTACGTTTAGACAGAGGTATGGTAGGTGTGGTTTTGGAGATGGATGGGACAGTGACATGAAGCTCTCTGAAAGACAGACGCGCATCGAGCTTGGAAGCCTGGCCTGTGGGACGTTTAAGGCATCAAGGCCAATATCAATCATCTGCGTGGCAACCAATCACAGCTCAGTTGGACAGAATTTCTCCTTCATGGAACTACAATTTGATATTTCCTTTCAACAGTTCAGTTTTCTTGCCAGGAGTGATTTTGAAGTGTTCACCCGTCACCATGAGTTCCACACGTGTTCCGGCCTGGAAACGCCTGGGCCTAGAACTTAAAGCCTCAAATACGAATGATACGAGCCCTGCTGCTACCAACATATCGAAGCGGAAATGGGATGCCAACGAGGCAAGAAAAGCTGTGGAAATTGAATCACCTGCGAAAAGGACAAAATCTGCCGGATCACCTTCCCAATTTCAATTTGGGTTCTCATCTGTGAATGAACCTACTGGAAAAGCAATCCCTTCCAGGTACTCAAGCAAGGCATCGTCTGCGAACGCGGTTCCCGTTTCAAATGGTGATCTTGGTGGCGCCCATTCCACAGAGACGCCTGCGCATTCAAAAGTGAAGATTAATGGGAAGGACCGCAATACTTCTACCAAGCGTGAACCGAAAAAACCGAAAAAACCAAAGGCAAAAAAGCAGCCCGCCTCCGCGCCGAACGCTCAGAGTGATGAGGCTTTGGGACCTCCTGCCTACGTGCCCTACCTGGAGACCTATTTTGCGGATCACGGAAACTGGAAGTTCAACAAGCATCACCAGACACGCCTCCTCAACAATCTTTTCCATCTGATCAATCTCCCTCCGAAACTTGACGAAGCCATCGCGCAGTACGTGGCTGGGTTGCAGAGTTTCGGGGCGCGGGAGCATCTCCGGACCAGCGCGTACCAAGTCTGCATTGACTCGTCAGAAGAGGCTGCAGAGGCCACTGAGACCGAGACTAGCAAAATGACGGCAGACGATATTCCGGACGAGTTGCGAAAAGCGGAAGCGTTATCTAGCAGACTCTTACAGACGAAGAAACGTCTACAGGAGTTAGAAGGTGATGAGGCAGAAGAGGAAGTGGAAAAGAAGCGGTTAAGGCTCCAGCAAAGACTAAGAGCCGAGCAAATCCTACTTGCGCTGAGCGAATCCGACCACAAAGTCAAGGCCAAACCCCCGCCGGTTGCTCCCGCGCCACCGCCCACCGCAGCCCCACGCCAACAACGCTTCCCTCCAGTAGCAGACGACGACTACAACGGTGCCGTCGTCCAAGGCTTCAACAAAGTGACCGGTGCGCTCGGCAGCGTCTCGATGAACAAGAAGATCGTCTTTGACGAAGAGCCCGAACCAGCGGTCCAACCAAAAGAGCCGAAGGCAAGGGCTACTAGGTTGCGGAAAAAGAGAACGGGGTTGGCGGCGGTTACGGGGGTGTCGGATGATGATGATTCCAGTAGCAGTTCGAGCTCTGGTAGTGACTCTAGTAGTGATGAGTCTAGCAGCAGTGAGGAGTCCAGTTCTGAAGATGAAGCTTAAGAGGAGGGACTCGGGGATTTGATAACGGTTTTTGAATATATCCAGGGACAGTCGGTAACGGTGGAGATGGCAAGCGGTCAAAAACTGTCAGGGCTGAGGGCGTGCGGATTAGGGTGGAATGACGGAGCAGTTTCTGCGGCATTGGTTGAAAGCAGCGATACAAGCAATGCATACTTTTATACAACGCTGTAGACGATATGAAAATGCAATCCCTCGTATGGTTACAAAAATCCCTTTAAGCGACTCGAGCGTTCAACATGGAGGTTGTGTGATCGTGTTCATCGCTATCGCTCTCTTCCCCCAATTCAAATCGCCTCGCCTCCACCGCGCTCTCCTCGTCGTTCTTCAACTTTGCCATTTCCCATTGCGTACACCGGCCAGGGAATGGAACATCACACCTCGAATGCCGCAGAGAGGGGTAATATCTTCGGTACTGCAACCACGCGATGGCGAAACCGAGCACACTTCCGAAGCACACATCCCAGACGTCATGCCGGTAATCTTCACAGCGACTAATCGCAATGAGCGCAGCACCAAGCAAGGGAGCGCATGCGGCCAGCATGGCCGACAGGCTCGATGCCGGTGCTAACGGACGGAATACATGGAGTTGGCCGCAGATGAACAATGTCAGGTAGCCCAACCCCGCGAAACTGAACGACGAATGGCCGGACGGGAACGACCGGAATCCATCATGGAGGATGTGGGAATTGGTCTGCGTACAGACTCGGAAGGAAACAAGCTTTGATAGTTCAGCCGAGTTCTTGCCAGGAACACAGCGGGAGATCAGGTCCGGACGGGGTCTGCCAACGGCATTCTTTATGGTGTCGGTGACGAGAGATGTCATGATCAATGAGATGAAGAAGCCTAGCAGAGTGACGTGGGCCTTGTGCTTGTTGCGATCGAAGGCTAGGAGGATAGCGATAATGAGAAGGAGGGGGACGGCCCCGGCGTACACGAAAAGCCATGCTGTGATCATGTCGGCAAGGCCCTTAGTAAGGGAATGGACTTGTCACTTACGGACGGGAACGCGCTCTTTTGTCGCATGAGGAAACTGAATTGCAACATCCTCGAGCGAAAACAAACGATGGAACGGCTCGACCAAGAAGACCACCTGCTTGACGCGTCAGCCACGAACTGCATGGTAGGTGACCTCGTTGAACCGACCAAGATATAGATAGTAAGCAGAATGACCAGTCCAAGATAATCCGAGGCATAGTATCTCTATATTCCATCTTAGCCCAAACCGCACGCATCCATCTCTCGACGCCCGTGGCACCTTACCAACCAAAACCTATGCACTGAACCGAGCCACCCTTTGGCCACTGTCGGCCCTGGCGACCGCCTGGAATGACGGGGAGGAGAGCCAGGCATGGGAAGGCATTACAGAACGAGCGCAGTATTAAATGGGACAAGATGTAGACTTAGATAAACATAGTTGATAGATATTTCTCGCCTGGGGAACTCAACGATCGCATTCGTAATGATGGAGTCCTGGGGGCAAGGAATATCAGATCGTCAACAGGGTCGTCGTCGAATTGGTAATGACGCGCTGGGTGTGTCTCGTCCGCCGTAACGACAATCCCCCACACGCGGGATGATCCATGTCCAATCCGTTTTATGCTCGACATCCCAACCAATTGAACTCACCTTCAATTTCGACCTGGCTACCTCATATACCCACGGAGTTATATGGACAGAGCAAAGTTACTTTTCACAATCCTACAATAGGAACTCAATTTGAATCTCGTGTTCTACCTCATTGCTGAATTCTATTCTAATCCGTAGGCAGTATCCTGAGCATGATCTAGCCCTCGCCCTATTCTGCATCCCGTCAAGATGGCTGACGAACAACCTACCGTCGAGACCTTCCCTCCGCCTCCTGGCTTCTACGAGTATTTTACAGACGCAAATCTGGAGCGTCTGGAGGCTCTGAAGTCTTCACTAGCCGATCGCGAGAATACGCAACAAGATGCCGGCGCATCAACGCAGCAGAGCGCTTCTGATATCGAAAACCTCCCGGACGAGCTGCGCTTTCTTCAACCTCCTGAGCCGCCGGCGGATGGGAAATACACATGCTTCGGAGCACCTTTCGACGTATGTAAATGGCGCCTTTGGTCGATTCAAGTCTAACCGGCATTCAGCTGCACGAGCAATTGCAATCACTCTCCGCGCAAGGCATCGATCAACTCTATCCCACGAAACCAGCACCCACCAACGCCGCGACGGGCACCGAATCGGAATGGACTCTCGACCGCGCGACCTACCTCCGCAAAATTGCCCGCTCCATAATGCTGAACTACCTCGAGCTCGTCGGCGTCCTCTCCGTCGACCCCACCGACTTCCCCGACAAGATCCAAGACATCACGACCCTCTTCCTTAACGGGCACCACCTCATCAACGAATACCGCCCCCACCAGGCGCGCGCGACGCTTATCCACATGATGGAGGAGCAGCTGGAGCAGAAGCGCGCGGAGATTCGGAACGTGCGGGTGATGAAGGAGAAGGTTCGGGCGCTGGCAGGGACGATTGCGAAGGAGACGGAGAATGAGGTACAGGGGTTTGAGTTGAAGGGTGGACGATCTATGTCGGAGGAGATTGCCGATGCGAGGAATGAAGAGCAACGATCGATGTGGGAGGCGCTGGATGAGCACTCTTCGGGATGGTCCTAATCCGGCGCCCGCCTCTCGCGTCTTCAGCAGCGGCAGTGATCACCTTTCTCTCCGTATCTGCACCTTGGAAGCATTTTCCGCCAGACCTTATCCCAGTTCTCAGAACTGTTAAAGGTACGTATTCCTTCACCTAGAACGTCACCTATGGGTTCATTCTTAATTCCCTGTCACAGCATCGCTGGCATTTGCTAAAAGCTATGTCCTCGTCCATTTAAACCTTCACTGAGTCCCATCGGATATCTCAGCGCCCTAAAACCCGATTAGCAAGCGGGTCTCGAATGTGCGGAGTATTTCAACTAAGCCTTCGCACCTGTTCTGTAGAGAGGATATGATAAATCCTGACCACATTGGGATGCGGATATTTCAGCGGTGCCATGCACTTCCAAGTCCGAAGAAGAACGTCGACGATCCACCCTCTTAGACCTGCGAGATGCTCCGAGGACCACCTTACAGTTTAGAGACGCGAATGTTTCATTCCATCCTGGAAAGCAAAGGAGCGCGTTTGGACACTTCAGTACATCAAAACCAAGAATCCAACTGAGACCACCATTCCTGTCGTCAATTCACGGGGTCTTCGGTCTCGGGTCTGGCAACCTCCCAGCATGTGTTCTGGCACTATTCTAGCCACGTTCTGCACCCTCATCCTATTGCGCATTCAGAGCCGGTTGAAAATATAGGGGTGACTATTCAAAGAAGATTTTAACGGAAAACACGCGACCGGGAACCGTTCCTTCCGACGCATCAATCCACCGTTTCGGAAGCGAAGGCACCCCTCGCAAGTCCAAAAGTCCCAGTCCCAATATATCATCCCTCCCACATCCGCGAGCAGACCCCCCATATGCCTACTCCGGCATGGAGCTGGATAATTCTGGCTACAACATGCGTTTTCGAGGGCTCAATATTATTGAGCCACAAGGGTGGAAGACTGGACATACGGAGGTCCCAATGTCTAGGTTGAAGGCACGTAGAGAACTTTAGATAAATGGTGCCGCATGTGAGCGGAGCAGACGAGCCATTTAGATTGTACGTGAAGGTTGGAAGCGAGAGTGATCCTTTGCAGGTTCGGGGTAAACTAGCCACTGCTAGCCTATAGAATTTACAAAGCATAGGCTAGAATCTTGTAAATACAAATTATGCAGGGCTTGAACGTTCATAATCCATAATCATCTATCTTTTTGGGGCGTGAGGCTAGTGTTCCCTCTCTGTAGACGACCACTGCGGTATCCACAGGCTTTCCGAGATTTATGTCTTACACTCGCACTTCGTCTCGGGAGCAAGCCCCTGCGAAAATACAGTAGGGCACGACAGTTGGTTGCTGAGGTTCGTCTCATAAACGTCTCAAGCGCCTAGGTCTCGGCAGGCGGAGCACTCTTCCCTTTCTTCCCAAGCCACTCAAGTTTCCGCGGCTTCATGTATTGCTCCAACACCTCATCCGTCACCTGGGTGCGCCGTTCCTGGAACCCCTTCACATACGCCTGCATAAGATTGATGCACTCCTTCTTCAGCTCACCCGTTAGCATCTCGCCCGATTTGTACGCCGCATAGATTTTATCCAGCTTCTCATCGTCGTCCTCGAAATACGTCAGGTACTGATACGCAACATCGACATCCGGATTCCCCCCCAGCTCGCGATGCAGCTCTACGGTCTCCTGCCCGCCCGAAAACGCATACTTGTTGATCTTCTTCTGGATCTCCTTGGGCTTGTCGCTCATGAAGATGGCGCTGTTGGGGTTGGAGGCGGACATCTTGCCGCCGGGACCCTGGAGGGCGGTGAGGAACTTGGAGTGGATGAGCGCCGGCTTCGGGGAGGGGTTCTTCATGCGCAACGAGTTGTCGCGGACGAGGCGGAAGTAGGGGTCTTGGTCAATGGCGCACGGGATCAGACATGGGATCGCGGCGGTTTTCTTGGACCGGATGGGGGAGTTGACGTCGTCACCCCAGATGAAAGGGTAGGAGGTTGCGAAGGCGGCCACGCATTGGAAATTGGGGAAGAAAATTCGGCCAGTGTTGGTGCTGGGGCAGTAGTTAGTAAAGGGGAAAACTGAGGAATCGTTCCATTGAAATTGGGATTTGCTCTCACCTGCCGTCGAACCCGAATGCTCCTCGAACCTGATTGAAGGGAATGAGTTTGGAGAACTCAAATGCATTCCAAAGCATATGCGACCCCCCATTGCCGTAGAACTTCAAGTCGCTGTAGATAAACGTCTTTTTGACATCAAACCCCAGCGCCAGAATATCCTTTGCGTTCTCTATAGAAAATTTCATGGTCTGCTCGATCGTCAGGTCTTCCCGGAACAGTGCCTTCTCATCATCCGTCAACATGATGACTAGCGGGACGTCGAAGACATCCTGCAGCCATTTGGTGAACTCGAACGGGATGGTGTGGCCGATGTGGATGTTGTCGCTACTCGGGCCCCGTCCGGTGTAGAGGAAGAAGTCCTTCCCCTTCTCATACGTGTCGAGGATTTTATCCAGGTCTCGATGACTGAAGAACAGCCCCCGACGGAGCCAACGGTGGGGTCGATGTCCCGTCACTCGTTCGAATCGCTCGAGGATCGCCTGGTCAATGAGCTTCGTATTCCATTTTCTGTCACATGGTTGGTCAGTTATAGGGTCGCATCGGGATTTCTCAGGAGTTCGCACTTGGAAATGGCCGGGTAGTCGAACGCGAGAACATTGCCTTCGGCATCTTGCCCTGCACTGACGGACCACGGGTCGATTTGCTGCTCGACAGCGCCGGCGGCCGGTGCCTCTGAAGTACCAGCAATTGAAAGGCCTGCGACAGAAGGGGGCTCCTCCCCGGCTATAGCGGAGTTCTTGTCGGCCATGGCGGTCGTTAATATTGGAAATCGCAGTGTTTATCCATAGAGCTCAACTATCATCAGGTGGATATGAGGGACAGTGGGAATGAGTCAGGTATAAATCCTGTCTGGGTGGGGTACCAGGATATCATGACTTAATAATAGCCACCAGCCATCTAGAAGCGACACAACCGCAAAACAAGGCTCAACATTTATTATACCATCCTAACTTGATCAAATACAAATCGAAATCTTACACTTGATGCTCAATCGCCTAGTCGACGTTCAGCTGCTCTAAACGCGGATTGGGACTATCAGCGACTCCTGGTGCCTGACGGCCTAGTTGCCTGTCAACCTCCGACTGCGACGTCCAGACTGGACGCATAATTCATGGGTACTATTGATATGCTATTGTCAGAAACAAGAGCCTAATAAATTTATCAATGAATCCATCAAGTCGGACCGATTAGAAGTACGTTATTATGGCCGATGGTTTCCTGGAGCTTATTGCTCCAATTCTTGAAGAATCGGGAGACGAAAGGAGCGATGATCTGTCAAGAGAATACTTAAGCCATTTGACATCCCTTTCGATATCGGATCTTCTAACGGACGAGCCGGAGTCGCTTTTGCATTCAGGCCAAACCATCCTCCGCTCATTGCAAGCTCTTTCACGGCGGACGTACAAGTCAAGTGTACGGTCTGTCGAACACCTTGACCGCTTTAAGAGTTCGCTCCCGACCGTCAAGAACAGCGCGTCTGCGGTTCAAGATGCCCTACCCTCCCTCGAGAGCGCATCCTCTCAATTTTCAAGCAAATACGCACGGTCACCCGAGAATCCTGTACTTCTCAGAAGACAGGAAGCTTTAAATTTATACGAAAACGCGTCGCGGATCTCGGATATCCTCGATCTCCCTGCGCTGCTTTCTTCTATCATCTCGTCATCCTCTGCAAATGCATCCTTTCAACCCTCCCAGCGTACACCTGGCGGCGCTACGCAAACGACACCCTCCATCACGAGTGCCAATATATCATACGCCTCGGCCCTAGACCTCCATCATCACATCAAGCGTCTTTCTACGTTATTTCCCGAGTCTAGCTTAATAGGATCCATGACCCTCGATGCAGACCATGGAATGAACATGATGAGCACATATCTGCTCACTTCTCTACGTTCTCCTAACCTGAAACTCACTGCGGCCATGCGTACCATCGGCTTGCTAAGACGCGTTGCTCCGGAACTCGAATCTGGGACCAGCGGCTTCTCGTTCGGACGACCATCTGATGAAGTCGGCAAACTTCGAGGCAGCGGAGGGGAAGGAAGCCTGGGGGCCATCTTCTTAGTGTGTCGGACGATGTGTCTCATCGACATGCTCGAAGCTCTCGCGCCATTACGCGACCTAGCCGACCAGGAGACGTCCGCTCGCAAATCCCAGGAGCCAAGAAAGGGTCCGGAGCGGCAGGAACGGTGGTCGGAAGGGCAGCAAACGGAGCGGTACCTAAAACGATACCTGGAGATCTTCCGGGAACAGAGTTTTGCCATCATCTCGATGTACCGGAACATTTTCCCGGGCGAACTCCCCGTCCCGCAAGCCGAGCGAGCGAGCAGCGGAGCCGAGGTGGGCCGTCCGGGCCAGACGATAGCGTCATCCGAAGGGAGCGAACTCCCGTCAGCGCTTTCGACATTTCCGATGCATCTGGTGTCGATGCTCATGGAGACCTTGGAAGAGTATCTACCCAACGTACAAGACCGCGCGTCCCGCGAGAGCCTTCTAACCCAGGTGCTGTACTGTGCGGGCAGCCTGGGTCGGCTTGGCGCTGATTTCGGCATGTTACTGGCCTTGGTGGAGGAAGACTCGAGAGAGGACGAGGAAGACGCGGACGAGGAGAGCGAATGGGAATGGGTTGAGACAGTGAAGAAGCATAGAATCCAGGCGAGCAGGCTGGAGCTCCTGGCAAGCGGAGTCGGCACGACAAGGCAGGTGGGACGAGCTTGAACTTTACTCTCACAATTCTTCGATTCACAATCTCGATGCTTACCCCGACATCATGGCACTGCCCGATCGGAAATGCGAAACGGGATCATGGGAAAAACGGCCTCCATTCATAGTCTTTTACCCGCTGGAGTGAACTGTAGCGTTTCGACCGACCTTGTCGGGCCCAAGGTCGTACCAAGCACGGGTACCGACGAATCAGAGATTTGCTTAGCGGTATGCAGTGGATATGCATTGTGTAGCACTATTGACAAGTCGCTTCGTAACTCTAATTCGTTGATCGCGTGAGAAATCTAGATAAGGTTATGCCTCGGGTTCTGCCGAGCTGCCGCGCCTCGAGTGGATTAGGGCGTCATCGACTATGCGTCAAGACGTAGGCGAAGCTGGTCGCATGCCGATGCCATGAGGTATCATCTCGGACTTGCTAGTACTCACGCTTCTAGAGAGTACAAACTTGGAATAACGTAGCCTAGCAGTGTCTCGAGGATATGAGCTGTACCTGTGGTTTTCTTTTGTTCTTAGGGGCGTGCTATGTACTTCGAAGGTGGCAAGCCATTTGGCGCAATGGAACGGTCTCGACAAGTCGATAATAGACGAAGTCTGATAGCCCAGGTGATGGTATGAGGCCCTTCAGAGTCCAGACCGACTAGGCGGGCTCTGGAGGGGGGCCACGTGGGGGCCCAGGGAGGTTCAGGGGCAGGGGGATATGACCCTTAGGCTTCAAGGCACCCACGATAGATCTGTAGCATCCTTCTTGACTCCACATTCTAGACGACAATGAACTTGACGACCGATTGCAACGTCCATCTAATCTTCAATATGGCATCTACTCGCATTATTACATCGGGCCATGGCCACCATGCCGGACACTTTACATATTATCCCGAGCAGATAAGAAAAGCTAGGACCGTGGGAACTAGGAAGTAATATGGAAGGCGGAAGTGGCGGAAGTGGTCAAGTCGAGACCATATTATCACACAGACCACTCGACCCCTGGCCCAGGGCCTGGCATATCTGCAAGAGAATATCGAAAATCTGCCCCTTTTCGGCCTTATCACGCCCAGCCTGGTCACTTCGCTAATGTTGTAGTTTTGTTCTGGCCTTCTAGGACTCGGGGCCAGCCGCAAGGGAATGAATAGCACCGAGCACGCCACATGGGAGCTTTTTGTGGTCGCTTTGCCTGCCTGGGTCGCTGCTCTCGCTAAAGTTGCGCCCCGAATTCTCCAGTTTAGCTTCATGCTCTGCCGGTTCGCGTCTCTCATCCTACCATTCATTGCGGTTGGTCATTTGCCGCCTTCTACGCCTGGTAAACAAGGAGCATGCGTGACATTCTAGATCTTCTATCTGCGGAATGTGGATAATCTTTTGGGGAGCATATCTTTGCCCATGTGTCGTAACTTCGTCGCGTCTTCTGCGTCGTTAGTTTGTCGAGAATGAGCCACTTCGAGTTTCGACTGATCGGGGCCTCCACCAAGCGCATCATTTAGAAGGACTAAAAGACCTTCTCGCCGTCTTCGTCCTCTATCACTTGCGGTCCTGGTGGAGGATCGGTTACAGTCTTGTCTTTTCTGGTGGGAGTCATTCGCTTTTGTCCTAAAGTCTTCATTCTATCTAGTCCTGTCCCCATTCTGCTTCACGATCCTGTTCATTATGGTGCCTAAACGGTTCGCACAATGGCTAACCTTGATGTCACTCGGCGTTCACATTACTGCGTTACCAACTTGGCCGGCTGCCATCGACGAGTTCGAGGAGATTATGTATCAGCTAGTGGGCTATAAAAAACGAGGTTTCGCAGAAGAAGTCACACCATGTGGCTTTAGTAGGGAGGGTCTGGATCGAATGGCGTCCTCGGAATGGATCAGAACCGCGTTCCACGATATGGCGACCGCCAACGTCTTCGGCACCTCTCCGACTCCTGGCGGTATCGACGCTTCCATTATGTTCGAGCTGGATCCGAGGGGCGAGAACACCGGGAAGGCATTCAATACGAGCTTGACGACATATAACAATTTCTTCACCAGCAGGGTTTCGATGGCCGACCTGATTGCGCTTGGTGTATTTGCCGCTGTGAGAAGTTGTGGAGGACCGGCGATCCCCATGAAAACAGGTCGTATCGACGCTTCCGTAGCTGGATCTATTGGAGTTCCACAGCCGGGGAATAGCCCCCTGACCTTCCAAGGCCAGTTTCAACGCATGGGTTTCAACCAATCCGAGATGATTGAAATGGTGGCCTGCGGTCATACTGTCGGTGGTGTCCATGGGAGCAATTTTCCAGATGTCGTCCCACCAGGATCCGCACCTTTCGACTTTCAGCGCTTCGACAATACCGATGTCTTCGATTCCAAAATTGCTTCAGATTTCGTCAGCGGTACCACCGTTGATCCTCTCGTCGTTGGTCTATCGGCAGGGCAGAGAGTCTTGAAGAACTCCGATACGAAAGTTTTCACTATCGATAACAACGTGACGATTACGAGGCTGGCAAATCCGGCACAGTTCGAGAGCAGCTGTAAACGCATTCTGGGGAGAATGGTCGATACGGTTCCACCTACAGTAACTCTCTCCGCACCAGTCGAGCCATACGAGGTCAAACCGATCAAGCCACAACTCACACTTCAGGATGGTGGTGTTTCAATTCTGTTTTCGGGAGAAATCCGCGTCAGAACAACCAACAACACAGTCGCTGTGGTCCAGATCTCCTACAATGATAGAACAGGAGGATCCGCCGGTACGATTTCCACTAAATATGTCGGGACCGGACGTGGATTTGATGACACATTTGATGTATGTGGACCACTGTGCTGCATTTCTCATTCGCAGCTAACAACATGCCAAACAGTTCTTTTCCTTCTCTAAAAACCTCTCATCTACTGGATCCATCTCGTCGTACACTGTCGATGTGACGTACACCAGCGGCTTAACCGTAACATATGATAACAATGGATCGGGTTATCCTATTCGAGACACCATAATGCTGCAAACACCACAGAGCTGCATTGTTGGTGGTACTTTGACTGCCGTGGCAGCTGTTCGCGGTATTTCTGGAGCTCCTATCCTTGCGCTGTCCTTGAAGAACCCTCTCAGCGTGGCCGGTGGCTATACATTCTCTAGCCTGGGTACCGAATCTGTGCCGATGACAGCCGGCTCTACCATTGGCCCGTACATCCTGTATACCGCATCGTACGCCCTAACCGGAGACCAAGCACCAAATACCAAGTTTGAGGTTGCAACAGGTAGCTCCACGGATTCATTCAAGGACACTTCAACCCTCCCAACTACCTGCAAGCCACTTGGGGCTTCTCCACCGAGCGACACACCCACTCCAGGATACACATATCAAGGCTGTTTTACCGACGACGCTGGTTCTCGAGCCTTCAACAGTGGCTACATTGCCGGTGCGGATACGATTGTAGAGGGTTGTGCCGCATTCTGTTCGAATTTCCAATTCTTCGGTATTGAATACGGTGCCGAGTGCTACTGCGGCAACACCCGAGCAGCGTCGAGCCTTCTGGCGGCCGCGTCGGAATGTAATATGCCGTGTGGTGGCGACCCGTCCGAAATCTGCGGCGGCAGTAACCGGCTATCCGTATATAAAAACGAGGAGTACGCACCCATGATCAATCCCGACGTTGCCGGCTATAGTTACGAGGGTTGCTGGACCGATTCACCCACGAGATATCTGTCAGGAAGCGCCACGGCAGGAGATTCGATGACAGTGCCCTCATGCGCCGGGTTTTGCGACGGCTCAAACTATTTCGGCGTTGAGTATAGTCGGGAGTGTTATTGCGGCTCTACACTGTCGGCTGAGAGTGTCAAGCAGCCCGAGACTGACTGTAATATAGCATGCGCAGGTAATGGCACGACATGGTGCGGTGCGGGCAATCGGTTTAATCTTTACAAGAAGACGACATCCAGCACATCTTCGGTATCATCAGGGTCTTCAACGGTATCCTCGTCGAGTTCAACGGCTTCTAGCTCGTCTTCACGCGTGTCAAGCTCGACGTCCTCTAGTGTACCCATTCCAAGCGGGCCTAGTGTGCCTGGGTGGACGTATGTCGGTTGTCTGACGGACTCCGTGGCGAATCGGATCCTCTCCGCTGCCATTGCCTTCCCCCCCATGATGACCTACCAATCCTGCGCCACCTTCTGCGCCGGCTACACATATTTCGGTGTTGAATACAGTGGAGAGTGCTACTGCGATGACTCCTACCAGACCTCCTACAATACTCGCCCCGAGAGCGAGTGCGACATGCCCTGCCTTGGTGACGCCACCCGGCATTGTGGTGGATCCAACCGAATGGATGTCTTCCAAGTTGGCGCCTTGAGTGGCAGTTCCTCAAGCTTAACATCATCCTCAGCTACCTCCATTAGCTCGACCGCCTCATCATCAGCAAGCTCGTCGCCCACATCTTCATCCTCATCACCCACCGCGTCACCAACTAGACCCGCGAATCCCCCAATCACTGGGTGGTCCTACAAAGGTTGTTACACCGACTCCATCGGGGACCGCGCCCTGGCCGGCACATACTACTTCGACGAGGAGCTCACAGTACAAAAATGCGCCACGTTCTGTGCTGACTACACGTTCCTCGGTACCGAGTATGGTGGAGAGTGCTACTGCGGCGACACGCTTGGGGGTTCGGGCACCGGTGGGCAGGAGGCACTGGAAGCTGATTGTAGCATGACGTGCAAGGGCAACTCGGGGCAGAAGTGCGGTGCTGGATATAGGGTGAGTGTGTATGAGAGAGATTTATAAGGGTTACCCGGTGGGTTACGCAGTTTTGATTTTGGACCAAGATATCCTTAAGGTAAGGCTAAGGAACCTCTATGGGTATTGCAGTATCATAGATCATTCGATATATACTGTGGTGCGTTCGCTAGGAGCCCTAGCAGAAAAAGAGCCTATTCTTCTTTTCAATAATCATGCCTTTATATCCAAACTCGAGCAGAGAGATCAATGGTTGGAAAGCGGTGGAAGAGCAAAATCTCGTGTGACACCGCTTATCCTTCGCTGACTGCACCATACTTTGTCACCGGCAAAGCCAAGACATTGCTTTGCTCGTTAACTTCGTGATTTGTATCGTTTCTTGAAAAGAGAGAAGAAGTATTCCTACTAATACCAGCCAACTGGCGAGCAGTTTCGGTGACTGCCATTGAATCGTTCAAGTGCCTCCCACTCTCCTAATACCAATCCTCGTCTTCATACATTTCCCCTCTGGAATTGCCATGAGTCCAATAATTGCTACCAGTCTCCACCACACAACTCTCTGCCGTGTTTCCATCCACGGCCACATTACAGTCAACCTTTACATTCTTGTTCTCCATCCACGGTGGCGAATAGAGCGGGCCATCCCAAGATCGGCTCCAGTCACCCACCCAGAACGTCACCCTTTCCAATTCGTCCCCGAGTTTCTTGCTGCGCATGAAGTCAAATACTTCCTGGGCTGTCGTCTCGTTGACGTACGGTTGGCGAAACTGCGCTTCATCGGCGCATCTGTCGTCGTCGTCGAGATAGGGTCGCCAACCGTGCTTGATTTCGTTCTGCCGGCGGCATTCACTCGTAATATCCAGCCACATGTCAAGAGTACGCAGTGCAGGGATCCCAGCGATAGCGGAGAGGGACTCGAGTGGCCAGGTACCGTTCCGATGGAGGTTGAGGGAGAGGTGATGGAGATGGGGCGTTTGTTGAAGATGCTCAATCTCGACGGCAGGGAAGACAATGCCACTGCTACCCTTGACCTCGACTGAGTGGACGTCAAGATGGAGAAGAGACTGGCCGTGGGTCTTGACGATGGTCGGCAGGATGCTGTCGTGTGGAACGGAATCATAATTGCCTGTCCAAGTGAAGTTTGTCAGAGCGACGCCGTTATCTGCCAGCTCTTCGAGGGCCTGGATGGTGCGGTTGGCTTGCCCGCCCTTCAACAGCAGGCGCTTCAGTCCCGTAAGGGACTTGGTGGCCTTGTTGAAGAAGTGGGTATAGTTAACACGGCGGTCCGCTAATGCTAGCTCTTCTACCTTTCCCCAGTCCATGGCATCGAGCCAGAGATCAAGGTTATCTTTTTCTCGCTGTTCTTTACGAAGGATTTGGAATGATATCTGCTTAAAAACTTTCCCGGAAAATACCCAATCAGTCCATCTCACCCACAATGGCATCCACTCCAAGTGGTTACGCATGTCATTCCGCTCGCTTTGATCGAATTCGTATTCTTCAAGATGGAGAGTTCGTAGATTCGGATACCTCTCGTTTCCGGAGAGTGCAAAAGGGAAGGACCAGCGATCCGGCCACTCGCTGCAACCGAGAAGCGTAACTCGGAGATTCAGTGACGTGATGTTTGGACACGTTATAAGAGCTTGGTGGACGCCGGACATGGTGAGAAAGATAGGTTTCTTCTCATCTCCTGGCATAATTCTGTCGGAGCCTGGAATCCTGGCTTTGATAGAGGACGGACATGAGTCGCCTGGGCGCCATGCGCGGCAGAGGGCCGTAGGTAGCAGTAGAGAGACTAGGATAATGCTGATGAGCCTCGGGAAACGCATGATTGCAAAGTAGATGTGAGCAACGCTGGACGCGACAAAACGTTTGACGATATTTCTACTTGAATGACAGCACTTGGCGGTGGCTGAATTTGAGAATGATGTTGACTGCGTAAACTCAATGAGATGAGTGTGTGGTGGTAGGTGTATTCCATAAGTGGCTAATGGGCGAACGCTAACTAAGTTAATCAATCTAATATTAAATGGTCACTCCTCCCCTCAGCGTTAATGTCTGTGGTAGAGAACACATATCACAGATATTTGCCAGGTGCAACAATTTGGTGGAGGATACAGCATCATGTTCGTTATTCTGTGGAATTTCGACTCCCCATCCTGATCATGAAACGTGGCATCAGTATCAGCAAGGCAACGCTGAGCATTAACTATCACCGTCACCAGGCAACAGCTCAGCGGACCCCAACTCGGGAAGGTTTTAAGCTGGAGGATCGGTATCCATGTCATGATGTTGTGAGGAACGATATACAGGTGTGGGGTGACTGGAGGATCCGATGCAGAAGAGTGAGCGTGTGGGCACAATGGTAGGACTATTAATACAAGGGAGTCGAGCATAGGCACTAATTATGTAAGAATAATATTCCGTCCTCTCTTCTTCCTCTTCTTCATCTTTCGTTTGCACCGATACTAGGTAGCTCATTAGTCCATAGACCCTGACGATCGAGACCTCCAGGATTGGCCCTGGACACTGCTGCTTACCTAATCGGACGACGGTATAGCAGAGCGATCGGCGAATGCATGCCGGTCAAAGGTTTCTGGAGGCGAGAGAATAGGTAAAGAAAGCAGAGGTTGTGATGGCCTCTATAAGCTGGTCGTTCGGGGTGTGATGAAGAGTGCCTTTCCGGATGCGAGAATCCGTCCATCGCTCTCAAGGCATGCCCGAACCCAGACCTTTCGGCCAGATTTCTCAACGGCCCAACCTCGACACAAGACAACTCCTGGGGTGTCGATAGGTTGTTTATAGTCTACCGTCATGGTAGCCGTGGCCGGTGGCAGACCGCCGAATAACTGAAATGCAACCGATCCAGTCATTTGATCCATTAGCAATGCACTGAACCCTCCATGTGCTCGACCTTTCTTCCCATCAAGACCGTCGCCTATGGAAAGCAAAAAGCAATGCTCGTAAGGAAGAATCGAGTCAGCCTCCCGTGCTGGTCTTTTGAAATTGATCTGTGCACGAATCCCATAGTTGGTATAGAGGGTACGTGCAAACATGGAGTTGGAGGCTTCTTCGCTCGAAGGTTTGGCATTGCGTCTGGCAATCTCGACAGCCTGGATGTTTGAGTTTAACAGGTCTCTGCACCACGGCAGATGAAAATCCGAGTGAATGTCCATTGGGAATATATGAGCTGCTGACTATGTCATAATTGATAGTAAAGATACATGAGACATAAATAATTAAGGTTGAAAAGAGGGCGGAGAGTGGTTACCGGCACATCTCGGTAAAGCTACAGTGTACGGTAGAGAACCGAAGGGGAGATGCCGAAACTCTATTTAGATCCTTTTAGATCTTAATGTCACAGTGCTATTTTAGAGGACCATGAATATGGAGCACTATAGTAAAATAGTTGGTATTTGACTAAACGAAAGATGAAGAAGGAGAATAGGAACCGAAACGGAGTGTGATGGATCAGCGGTCTATAGACCTGGATGCCTTGTGGCCTTGTGGCCCGTTCAGGTTCTAGTTCAGCAGGGCGCAGGGGGCTACTAAAATATCTGGTAATCAACCGATGATTACGCTAATCCGGTTTTGGACGGTTAATTCACACATAACAGGCGGAATTCCAGACGTTTTGCCTTGTAACTGATGAATCTAATCTACAGTCTCTATGCGGTTTCTCTATTAAACGTTACTAAATTTCCCAACGTCTATTCTAATCTACCGGTCTATCTACGATTAGATATATCAGCGGTTTAGAATTCAATCGGGAAATTTCCTCGATCGTTTTGCTTAATTATCGGTTGGTTAGCGGTTGGTTAACGGTTGGTTAACGGTTTGGTAGGCAAAACGTCGGCTAAGATTCGGCTTAGCTTCGGGGGTTCCTATCAATCCGGCTCCTACCATAACTCTACGATGCTCTCCTGGACCTAATCATACGGGTAGACACGTCATAAATGAGATGAGCTTCTTATATAAGACTCAGATGACCTATAACCACTCTTAAACTCGATATTTGAGATGGCTAACACTGCTGCTGGCATAGACCCGGCGCTGTCCGGCTCCCATGCTGGAGCGGAAGATGATGAACCAGGTCTTCCAGTATGCTCCGCGCACTGCCTTTCTTATATAAATTATATAGGAAGTCCAGTCTCTGACGCATTAAGTAGCCCGAGGATTTCCAATCCTACCTCCGTAACCCGAAGAAACGGGTACGAGCGAAGCGCCATCACCACGCCGAAGCCGTCAGTGAGGACAATGCTCGCGTTGCGAAGCTGTCCAGATCAACGAGGTGGAACCATTTCT